GGATGAGAGCTCTCTCCTTTGTCTCTCTCTCTCAACTAAATAAAGAAAAAGAAAATGGTCTCTGCCTTAATCCTTACAGAAAAGTAATGTGAGGTAACCCAATGCCACCCAATCGAGTTTTCCCTCATTGTTCTCTCTCCATGTCCGTGTCTTACAAAACCCACTGTTCCGCTATTGCCCAGTGGCAGCAATTCATTCTATTTTCTAGAAGCTATTGCCTGAGTCATTAGCGTCCATTAGATCTAAAAGCAATTTTGCTATAATTTTGTCTTTTGACCTTGAGCTACTTCAACAGTGTTTCCCTCAACGAGCTTTGCTGTGGTTCTCACAACTTAGAGGTGTCAGCATCCCCTGGGGGTCCTCAGAGTCCTCAACTTTTTCCATGCTCCTGGCCAGCCCGTCCATCATTAGCTCTGCAGGTGACTCCCACAGTCACCATACTTCAGACGTGCCCCACTGTTGCAACTGGGGTTGTTTCATTTGATATTTTATCCCTCATCTCCCATTCCTCATCACATCCCTGTCCCAAACTTAAGATACAAAAATAAAACAGTGGGCAAAGTGCTAACCTATTAAAGAGGTGATTCTCTCACCATACACAGAGTATGGGTTTAGCTTACAGAGGGTTCCGCTACTGACAGCAGCAAACTACACCACTACCTGTTAGATTAATGATACAACTTAATTTTAATGTATGAACTATTTTTTTTGCTTGGTTTTAGTCAGGTACTCACCTCTGTCCAGTTCATCTGGGGAGTGAGCCAGTGAATGGGAGACCTCTCTTTCCAACTCACACACACATTCATTCACTTTTTCTGTTTCTCTGATTTTTAAATAAGCAAAATAAGTAAATCATTTAAAACAAAATAGTAGTGGAGCCGGCACTGGGCCATAATGGGAAAAGCCACCGCCTGTCATGCCAGCATCCCATGTGGGAGCCAGTTCGAGTCCCAGCTGATCTACTTCTAATTCAGCTCTCTGCTATGGCCTGGGAAAGCAGTCGAAGATGGCTCAAGTTCTTGGGCCTCTACACCAGAGTGGAAGACCTGGAAGAAGCTCCTGGATCCTGGCTTCGGACTGGTCCAGCTCTAGCCATTGCAGCCAACTGAGGAGTGTACCAGTGGATGGAAGACCTATCTCTCTCTCTCTCTCTCTCTCTCTCTCTCTCTCTCTGCTTCTCCTTCTCTCTGTGTAACTCTGACTTTCAAGCAAATAAATAAATATTTAAAATAATAATAATAATGTCCACTTCAGAAAAACAGATCCTACAATATGGATGAGGATAGCAGGTGGTTGGGGGCAGAATTAGATGAACAGACTCCAGGGCAGAAGAGGAAGAGCACACACCATGAGGGACAACCACACCAGCATGATGTCTCTGTGGGAGGAGGCGAGAGGGAAGGACCCAGAAGCGGGGCTTTACTGCCCATTTAAGTCACACCACCATGAAGTGAACCCAAGTAAAGGGAAGTGTTACGTGGAACAAAGGAAGAAATAGCACCACTGGGTGTCAATTTCACATGGATCTAGTTGAATCTTGGTCTGAAATCCATTTCCTAACTTGTTTAATTCCCCTTACCCAAGGAGTAGAAAGCTTTGCTGCCAGCGTTTCTTTTAAGAGCAAACTCCCAACTAACCTGGAGTGACTGAATGCTTTACAAGCCCTTCATTCAGATTTAGCATCAAATAAAAGCATCCTGGTTAGCATACAAACCTCTTCAACAGGAAGCCCTTCAACAGCCTTGCTGAGAAATCTCCACTTCGGTAAAACCAGGCCCGCAAAAGCATACATACAAACGTGGATTTTCTGAAAAACAGTCCTTCTTGTTCTAAGATAAAATGTAATAGCAACAACAAGAAGCAGATTTTACCGATTTTCCCTACTGCTTTCCACTTTTAATGTGCTCTCCCATGCACAGGTCAGTGGCACCCATTGGATGCCTTTTTGCTTGCGTTTTCCTTTCCATTCCCCACCACACTCCTAGCATGAGTTTTATTTCATTATTGTTCAGGTAGTGCTATGGATAAAGACCTCAGGAAAAAAAAATGCCAGTGCCCAAGACACCGTGGTGGCCTTTTCACTGTGTAATTATGCTCACCCGTGATAACACTCAAGGCATGCCTTGTTGGTGGCAGCACGCAGGCCTTCTGTTCACAGAAAGATGGATTGTTCCTGCAGGCCTGATGGTCTTCAAATTATCTTAGTGCAGAAGAGAGAGCAAAGTGAATTTTGTTTTAACTCATTTTATTTCTGAATGTATTTCCCAGTAGCTGGGAGGTTGTGACTGCACTAGCAGTCAAGTCAATTGTTATCTGTGGGACTTGATTATGTTTGGACCTGGTCGCTCGTTTTGAGCAAGACACAGTTAATGAGGAGAGAAATGAAAAGTGCATTGAGTCACAGTGTGTTTGTGGTAATTTGTGACACATTTACACCACTCAGTTCTTTGTTTATTCCTCCTCCTCACGCAGGTTCTGCGGGAGAAGGAGCAGATAAGCGAATTCACTGGTAGACAGTTAAGGGTGTTGAAGGTAATGAATCTCTCTCTTTCTCTCTCTGTCTCTGGCTTCATTGTTGGCAGTAATTGGGGCACCGTTCATCTCTTCGGTAAAATGCTAGGGAAGCTCATCTTAACGAAACATCTTATTTTTCCATTACTTCTCAACATATTTTTCATTGACATTGCATGTTTTTATTTTCGCCATGTACTTTGTGTGTGTGTCTGTGTGTTCTTTGCCACTTTTCTAAATTATAGACCATTAAACAGTTCACAGTGTGTGTTCAGTAGAAATGTAAAAAAGTGATTGGATGATTCTAATTAAGGAGAGATTTTGTTTCCACTGACTGCAGATCAATGGTGGGTTACATTAAAGCTGCATTATGTGATGAGTTTAACACAAAAGAACAGCTGTGCTAAATACATATTTCAAGACATACAGGTAGGCAAAATAACTATAAATTCTACTTGCAGAAGTGTGGGGAAACATAAAGGCTAATTATTCACTACAATCATTATTAGTTTCAGTAGAAACTATTAAGAGTAAAACTGGGGAATGTTCAGTTATTTCAGGTTCTCACTTTTTTCTGAGTCCTTCAATATTCTGGTTTTAAAATGATATCCTTGCAGTCTGATTTTCAATAAAATTTATAAATGAATCAGCTTTTCTTTTTACTTTATTTCTGGATAAGGAGTTCTAATTGAGGAATAGGGATGTCAATGTAGTCTTATAACATACATAACTCTTTGTAATTCTCTTTAATCTACTGCCAGATAGGATTAATTTCCCAGAAATCTGATTTCCTCTATCCAAGTTTGAGGTAATATGGTACAGTTTTCTGAATGATAGTCAACAACACTTAATGACTATTATAAACTCTGAGGGACATGGAACCAGTGATTAATAGACATACAGAGCAGAAAGAAGGAACAGAAAATATTTACAACTGCCACATAACTTTATTATTATTGTTGTTGTTGTTGTTGTTATCATTATTAGACAGTGAGAGAGAGAGGCCGGCGCCGTGGCTCAATAGGCTAATCCTCTACCTTGCGGCGGCGCTGGCACACCGGGTTCTAGTCCCCGTCGGGGCGCCAGATTCTGTCCCAGTTGCCCCTCTTCCAGGCCAGCTCTCTGCTGTGGCCCGGGAGTGCAGTGGAGGATGGCTCAAGCGCTTGGGCCCTGCACCCAAATGGGAGACCAGGAGAAGCACCTGGCTCCTGGCTTTGGATCAGCACGGTACACTGCCCGCAGTGCACCAACCGCAGTGGCCATTGGAGGGTGAGCCAACAGTAAAGGAAGACCTTTCTCTCTGTCCCTCTCTCTCTCTCACTGTCCACTCTGCCTGTCAAAAATAAAAAAAATAAGAATAAAAAAAAAAAGAGAGAGAGAGAGAGAGAGAGAGACCTATAGGAAGAAGGAATTTCAGTAAGTTCATAGAAACTGGAATTAAAAGATAAGTTTATTTTGGTGCAAAAATGCATAGTTCTTTTGTAATATGTGTTTTCCCCGAACTTTAAGAAGATGTCTTGTATGCACAGATTTCAATGTTTTTTTTTTTTTTTGCACCAAAATAAACTTCTTTCAATTCTGTTTTCCACAAATATTTTGAAGTATCCTTAAACTTTCTGTGCTATGGTTTTTAGTGTGCACCTTGTTCCTGTATTTATTTTGAGGTTTTCCTTTATTTCCCAAATATGTGAAATCTGCATATGTTACATCATCTACAAATTTGGACAATTTAAATTTCCTTCTCCTTACACCAGATTTCTTGTAAAGGTTAGCATTATTTACAATTTATGGGAAAAATTTTTGAGATGCATACCACTGTTTTAAAATTACTTGCCAGTCTCTCTTTGCACAGATTTAGTGGAAATTGGTACTGAGTATACATAGGGTGTTGAATTAGTTTTAATTGCTTTTTTCAATAAATATGTATTGAACACTTGCTACACGCTAGGCAATGTTATTGACTCTTGGGATATAGCCAACAAATGAACAAAGGAAACAAAAATTTCTACATTCACTGAATAAATATTTTAGCGCAATGACCCTACATTTTTTTTAAAGATTATTTATGGGGCCAGTGCTGTGGCGCAGTGGGTTAAAGCCACAACCTGAGGTGCAGGCAGCCCATATGGGTGCCGGTTCTAGTCCTGGCTGCGCCACTTCCAATCCATCTCTCTGCCATGGCCTGAGAAAGCATTGGAAAATGGCCCAAGATCTTGGGCCCCTGCACCCACGTGGGAGACCTGGAGGAAGCTCCTGGCTCCTGGCTTTGGATTGGTACGGCTCTGGCCATTGCGGCCATTGAGGAGTGAACCAGCAGATGGAAGACCTCTCTCTCTCTGTCTCTACCTCTCTCTGTCTCTGTAACTTTGACTTTCAGATAAATAAAATCAATCTTTAAAAGATTTATCTCTGTGTAGCTCTGAAAAGATTTATTTTATTTATCTGAAAGAGTTACACACAGAGAGAGAGAGAGAGAGAGAGAGAGAGAGAGAGAGGTCTTCCATCTGCTGGTTCACTCCCCAAGTGGATGCAACAGCCAGAGCTAGGCTGATCTGAAGCCGGGAGCTGGGAGCGTCTTTCTGATCGCCCACATGGATACAGGGGCCCAAGGACTTGGGCCATCTTCTACTGCTTTTCCAGGCCATAGCAAAGAGCTGGATAGGAAGTGGAGCAGCAGGGACTCAAACCAGTGCCCATATGGGATGCTGGCACTGCAGGTGGTGGCTTTACCTGTCATAACACAGCGCCAGCCCCCAATGTCTCTAGTTTTGCAGTAATTGTTTTTGTTCAACAGGCAAAAGTTTTCTTGGGCTTCATTTATGTATGTGTGCATTTCTGTATTGTTACTTGAAAATACAATTAGCATGGAAAAAAAACCTTTTCTTTATTAAGCCCTAAATAAGAATTCAGTGAATGCTGATGAAGAAATGAATATAAAGTCATGTCAGGAATTCTGAAGTCCAGAATTAGTTTTTTTCCTGTGTTCTAATGAAGCATCATCATAAATTCTGCATTTCCCATTCTAGTTGGACTCTTTGGCTTTCAGTGTATATGGGATGGTTTTATCTTTAATGAACTGGAATAGGCGACTTTGGCATCTTCCAGAGTAAAGTCCATAGTAATGCACCAGGAAGTATCATGAGTCAGGAATTTGGGATTAAAGACTGAGACATGAGTGTGTGAATCATGAGGATCCAGGTGTCCTGGGGTGGGTAGTATGATGAAAGGAGACAATAGAAACATAAACTCAGTGTTATGAGGACAACAATTTGATTTGAACGATGCTACCAAATGATTAAGAATTTTCACAATAGAAACGAGAATTGGCAGACATGAGAACTAGAAAGTTCTCAGATCTCAAATGGGAAAATCTAGCATTGAGGTTCTAATCTTCACTAGCTGAATCCCTGAACAGATTACTTAAAACTGTGAATGTCATTAGCTTTATGTTTAGAAAATTGCAGAAGCCCAAACGCGTAAGATAATTGTAAAGAATCAAATATGCATAGGAGTACTTTGTAATTAATAGTTTTCTATGTTCATGCATGGTCTCACTACTACTATTTCGAAGGCCTCTGAGACCAATATGAGATGAAAATCCATAGCTACAAATATTGGGGGAAAAGAAAAAAAATCAGTATTTTTAACATCATCCCAATGTGCTGTGGATGCTCATTTTCTGAGTATTTTTAACGAATAAAAACATTCATCTCCCACTACCATGTACTCTTTCTGAGGCTTATCCTTATTGCCTTTAAGATACATTCTCTAGCCGGTGCCGCGGCTTACTAGGCTAATCCTCCGCCTTGCAGCGCCAGCACACCAGGTTGTAGTCCCGGTCGGGGCGCCGGATTCTGTCCCAGTTGCCCCTCTTCCAGGCCAGCTCTCTGCTGTGGCCAGGGAGTGCAGTGGAGGATGGCCCAAGTGCTTGGGCCCTGCACCCCATGGGAGATCAGGATAAGCACCTGGCTCCTGCCATCGGATCAGCGTGGTGCACCGGCCATAGCGTGCTGGCCGCGGCGGCCATTGGAGGGTGAACCAACGGCAAAAGGAAGACCTTTCTCTCTGTCTCTCTCTCTCACTGTCCACTCTGCCTGTCAAAAAATAAAAAATAAAAAAAAGTCCAAAAAAAAAAAGATACATTCTCTAGATGAAAATTCATTTGTTGTTACATAATCTCAATAGTTTTATTCTTTCAAGATGAGAAAAGCATTAAAAATGCATGTTTGGAGCCAATGAATATTTGTAAATACTTATCACAAGTATATAGGAAGGTGATAACTGAAGATCTTATTGTGAGATTTTCATGAAGTAGAATTTGTCAGATAGTTTTTACTCAGATCCTTTAGGGGAAGCACAATATAGATTTACTGAGAAGCGAAAGTGAGCCCTGGTTGGACTTGGTGGTCTGTGTGTACCCATGACCTCCAAGTTAAAGTGAGTTTTCATTGGAGCAGGATCTTATAGAATTTTTTTCCCAGGAGACCATAGCCATGGTCAGTATGGTAGTACTTACAGGACAATGATGAGCACCCTTTCCAGTAAATATAGTTACATGATCCTGTGTTGTCCTTAGTCAGGCAGAAGTAATATGGATTTGCTCTAAAATGAGATAAATGATATTTAGCCCAGTCAACACGATTATGTGAGCAGGCCTGGGTGAAATCAAAGTACAGAGTGATAGGGCCTGCACAGCCCATGATAGGGCAGAAAGTTGCATTAAGTAGTTTAGCAGGAGTGGAAGCAGAGGTGGAGTAAATCTGAAATTGCCATGCATAACGTGCTCCTGGGGCCAGTGTGGATGTAGGGCAGACACAAAGGAGTAGAAGAGATGAGATTATCGAGAGTCATCATGGTATATGAAAGAGGGAGTAAGACAATAAGACAAGGTATGGAGAAGTGAAGATCTCAGAGGGAGTGAATTCTGAGAAGGTTACCTGGAGGTGTAAATCTTCAATATCCAAAAGGAGCCGGTAGGAGTGGACGGGCAAGGCGTGTGCTTGATATTCCTCCCACAGAAGTTGTAGGAAGAGCTGGTAGCCATATAAGAGACAATCAGTACCTACCAAGTGTTGTAATGTGGAGTTCAGTTATGAGTAATTAATTCAAACCGTAAGATAGTTTAGATTAAGTACAGTGTGACGCCTAGCCCCAAAGTTGCTCAAATGCACCAATAAAATGTATAAATTTAGGTAATTGCCATATAAGGAATAAGGAACTTGCCTACATGTATAGTGATGTATGTACTTGTTTACTCAAGTGCATAAAAATGCTAGGAGGGGAGGGATGGGGATTCTTGCCTCAGCACTGGCTACGTCGTATGTGTCGGTAAGAGCCCCAGCTAGCTGGTAATAAAATTCTCTTGCTGTTGCATCCAGCCTGCCTTTTGGTCCCATACCGGACACAACAGTAAATGGTGGGTGGCTGCGTGATTACTGTTTCTCAGAGGCAGTTCATCAGGGCAGAAGAGACTGAGTTTTTGGGCACCACTGGTACTGCAGCTTGAGTCTGGGTCAATTTGTGAGTGGCCCTGTGGGAGTGACTATATAATGAGAAGGGAGGGAATCGCTTAAGGTAGAAGTGGACCCAGTGAGGTTTCCCTTGTAGCTTTGCTGCAGTAGGAGTAATGAGAATAACCCGATAAGGCCTGGTCCATTTGGCCCGTAGTTTAGTGGATGTAGGGGCAAAGAGGGGTGTGAAGAGGACAGGAAGACCTTATATTCCACTATAATAAGAGGGAAGCTGTCTGAGGTGGTTGGATCTGGAACCAGAGAATAGGTATCTGCATGTTTCCATAACTCTGTTCTCAGATATTTGAGGAGAGGCAAGACTAGGCGGGGTGGCAAGATGGAGATGGAGAGTGCATAGTCAGAGGAACCAAGGGACGTCCATTTATCAGTTCAAAAGGCAAAATATCAAGAGGGTTTTTTTCTGAAGTGCCTTCATATGGAGCAGGGCCAATGAGAGTAGTTTAATCTAGTCCACGTGGAGCTTAAGGGAGAGTTAAATAAGAACATTTTTAGTGTATGATTTGCCCTTTCTACTTCTCCTGAGTATTGAGGGTAGTAAGGGATGTGGAAATGCCAGGGGATGTTAAGCCTTGTTAAGTAGCTGAGTTACCTGAGATGTAAATTTGGAGCCATTGTCTATCTGGAGAGAGTCAGGGACTGCAAAATGGGGGATAATCTCCTGAGGTAGGATGTTGGAAACGGTTAGCACCCATTTGTTAGTAGTTGGGAAGGCCTAGACCCACCCAGAGAAGGTATCTACCAGTACCAAGAGATATTGAAAACGCCATTCTCTGGACATATAAATGAAGGCAATCTTCCAGTCAGAGGCCAGCAGGTGTCTTCTGGCTTGATGGGAGGTAATGGGTGAAGGCTGAAGGTTAGAGATAGGGCTTGTTTTTTGTTTTTTGATATGTAGTACAAGGAGAGGTGAGTTTGAAGATATTTGGTATCTTCTGTTGAGAGAGATTGTTTAACAAATGATAAAAAAAGAAGAAATGTTGGGATGAAACAAATGATGGAGAATAAGATAGCCTGAGTGGAGGGCTTTTGAGATAGTTGGTATTGAGGGTAGTTTTTCAGTATAGCAGATGGACTGGAAGAGGAGCTGGAGGAAAAGGAAGATAATGCCACCTGATGGGCCACCTGATCTGACCTGTTATTACCAGCCATGATGACAGAGTTATCAGTCTGATGAGCCTTACAATGGATATGTCCAATTCATGTTGGAAGACAAGCTGCCTCTAGGAGAGGAGTTATGAAGGTAGCATTGGAGATGGCTGTCCACTTAGTGCTAAGAAGACCCCTTTCTTTCCAAATTGCTGAGTGGGATAGGAGGATATGGAAGCATTTTTTTTATTTTATTTTTATTTTTGGAGTTAGACAGTGAAAGAGAGACAGAGAGAAAGGTCTTCCTTCTGTTGGTTAACCTCCCAAATGGCCGCCGTGGACAGAGCTACACCAATCCAAAGCCAGGAACCAGGTGCTTCTTCCTGGTCTCCCACATGGGTGCAGGTGCCCAAGCACCTGGGCCATCCTCCACTGCCCCCCCAGGCCACAGCAGAGAGCTGGACTGGAAGAGGAGCAACCAGGACTAGAACCTGGCACCCATATGGGATGCTGGCACTGCAGGTGGAGGATTAGCCAAGTGAGCCAGGACACTGGCCCCAAGAAGGCATAATTTTAGTTGGTATAGACAGTGGTAGTTTTATTTTTTTGCCAGCGTAAGAGCATGGGTTAGAGCCTAGAGCCTAGTGTGTTGATTAGTAGTATTGAAAGAGAGCAGTCCCATCTCAATTGTATTGGTCATCAATACCACAGTATATCCTGCCCTTTTTATTCCCTTATGGAAAATGGAGCTACCATCTGTGAACCATACTAGAGTAAGATTAACGAGGGGACCCTCCTGGATTTTTGAGGGATGGGATAGTAAGTGTTCAATAGTCTCAATGCAGGAGTGAACAGGAGCCATGTGACCTAGAGATGGAGGGGGAGGGGGGAAAAGTAGCTGGGTTAAAGGGAAGACAGAATTTAAAAGTGAGGGTAGGTTCCTCAATTAGTGAGACCTGAAAGGCCAGAATATGATATGGTGGGATTCACTGGAGGCCCTTGTAAGTTAGGTGTTCTGATAGATGATGTGAGGGAAGAATGTAAGTGGTGAGGTGAAAGTGAGTTGTTTTTTTTTTCTTTTGTATTTGAACCACTGCTGAGGCTAGCACCTATAAACAGGGCATCCAACCCTTGACTGTGGAGTCTAATGTTTTTGAGAGACAGACTATAGGATCAAAGAAGGGACAACCTAATGGTTGAGAACCCCCAAGGCTATTGATTGGTTTTCATTGACATAAGGGTCATGTGAGATCTGGTAAGTGTAAGTAGGAACCCGTGACTGGGGCTATGAGGGATTCCTGGAGGGATCTCTTTGTGTCTTTGTAGAGTGGTCATGTTTGAAGGGAGAAGTTTGGAATCCATCAATGTCGGAATCCTGTCAGGTCTAGAAAGGATATAATTTATTCCTTGGTAGAAAGATGGGAGGTTAGTTATGAGGTGCACCTGTGAATCTGATGGGATGGTTACTCCTGAGACTGAGTTACATTAGGTGACTTGGCTGTAACCAGCTGAAGAGTCTCCTGCTGACTTTAAAGAAAGATGCTATACTGTGAGGGAGTTTTATGATAGCAGGGATTTAGATTACCACTTAAGCTGCCAGTTAAGATGGTTTTGTCCCATCATTGAGTGCCTGGGTTCAATATCTGGCTTCAGCCTGTGACCCCAGCCTCCTGCTCAATGCTGACCTTGTGAGTTGGTGGTGATAACTTAAGTAGTTGTCACCCACATGGGAGACCTGGATTGAGTTCCTGGCTCCCTGCTTTGGCCCCTGGCCTATCTCCATCCATTGTGGGCATTTGGAGAGTGAGCAGATGGATGGGAACACTCTCTCCCCCTGTCTCTCAGCAATATTTTTAAATCTTTAAGAAAAATAAGAGGACTCCATGGATATGACTTAAAAGTAGCTGGGAGATCACTGACTGATAGCCAACAGGCAAACAGCGACCTCAATTTTCCAACCACACTCTAACAATCTAAGTGGGCTTTAAAAAAGACCCTGAGGGGCCAGTGCCATCATGTAGCAGGCTGGACCACTGTCTGCAGTACCAGCATCCCATAAACCTGGAAGAATCTCCTGGATCCTGGTTTCAGACTGGCACAGCTCTGGCCATTGTGGCTATTTAGAAAGTAAACCAGTGGATGGTAGATCTCTCTCCCCCTCTCTTTAACTCTGTCTTTCAAATAAGTAAATAAATCTTCAAAAAAAAAGTGATGGGGGCTTGACTGGCAGATGAGAACACACATCTGCCAACATCTTGATTCTAGACTTTTTGTGCCCTGAGCAGAGAACCCTGCTGTGCCATGTGGACCACAAGGTTTGTGAAAATTTATTTCTTAGCAATAGAAAAATCATATAACGTCTTAAAAGACAAAAGTGTAGTTTTAGTGTCAACACTGGTGTTACACTAGAGAGACTGCATGCTCAGAGACAGCTCACCTGAACACAGTTCATACACTGATGGCACACTATGTCCTAGTAGCAGTTATTTAATCTTTTTGTTTTGTTTTAATTGGAATCTTTTTTTTAATTTGACAGGTAGAGTTATAGACAGTGAGAGAGAGAGAAAAAGAAAGAAAGGTCTTCCTTCCGTTGGTTCATCCCCCAAATGGCAGCTACAGCTGGTGCTGTGCCAATCCTAAGCCAGGAGCCAGGTGCTTCCTCCTGGTCTCCCATACAGGTGCAGGGCCCAAGGATCTGGGCCATCCTCCACTGCCCTCCCGGGCCACAGCAGAGAACTGGACTGGAAGAGGAGCAACCAGGACTAGAACCCAGCACCCATATGGGATGCCAGCACCACAGATGGAGGATTAACCAAGTGAGCCTTGGCGCCGGCCCCTAGTTGGAATCTTAAACTTGGAGTGCAGTGTCCTATTTAGTAGTCCCAAAGGCCACACTGTTGTTTCTCTCAACAAAAATGACCAAAAAATGTATTTTGAAGGTCATCATAATTTGCCAAATTAGATACCACCCCTGCACAAGAACTATAGTTGTATTTCGGTATCTTTGGCCATAGAGGGCAATTTAAAATATCGGCTAAAGAGCCACCATCATAAAATCCATTATATCCTTAGGAAATATGAACTTTAATTTCAAGCAAAATTAATGTTTTGTTGGCAAAGCCAGTGTCCATGGAGAGAAGTTACAACCTTTTCTACTTCCTGTTCCTCTTCCTCCAAATAAGTAGACATGGTTAGCCTGTCCTGCCTGCAAATGCACTCTGCCCTTCCATGACAAAACAGGTTGCTACAGTATGAACAAAGGGAGGTGTTTGAAATACTTGCCAAGCTAACATTATCCAGGGTGATATTTTCCTTTGAGCTGACAGACAAAGCCTTCATCTGACAAATGAATGTACTCAGGAGATTATATCAATGGCTAATCCAATTAAAAACTTTGATATATTCGGTTATCTCTG